TGCCTTCATGGATGCTTCATTGATTCTAAGCCTATTATTTCAGACAACTACATCGCCAGAGGGCCGACCTGTGAATCCTGCCATTCCAGGTGCACCCCCCTCTTCACATCCAGGCACTAGTGTTTTATTTATAGGCACAAATCATCTCTCTGCTTTTCATCCATAAGCAGTGGCTGTGTCATGGAGACAATAACAAACGTTCCCTGAAGCCATTATATATGGAAATGTAAGCAGACACATGTTCTGTTATATGCAGTATAAACAAGACAAAAAGTCGCCTATTCCCTATGTCAGATATTTGCAGAAAAGCAATGTAAGATTTGCTATGTTCCAATTTATTCATTGGTTTTTCTGACCAAATATTGAAGTACTGTTGCCTTTTAAGGGAGGTTAGGTCTCTTTTAGTAGTTATAAGCCTTCTCTGTCCATGCATAATTCGAACACATAATTTAAAAGTCCAACTCAGCTGAATAAAAGACCAAGAAATAGGAAATGACAGTGGTGGACACACTCCCAAGTTTCAATGTGACATTAAAAAGGCATGAGGCACTATAATGAAAAGTGTGTAATGTTCCATGCTCGATTTAGAATTCAAAGAAACTCGACTGTAGTGTTAAGTGATTAGACAAAATTATCGCATACGTGGTGTATTTCTGCAAAACATGTCCTTTCTGTATGGCTGGTTATGGTGACCACAGTAGACGTGAGCTCATGAGCCTCCGGTACTCCATAATAATGGGGCTAACTGAGATAGTCTGCCCACAATGTGAGAAACCTAACACCCCTTGGGATAATTAGCCTGAAAACACGGAGCACAAAGTTTAGTGAGTTTATTAGGATGCTGACAAGCGCCGTAAATCCTGTTCTTTTAATCAGTTTAATTTTACAGCATTCTTTGTGTAGGACTACTTTATATTTCAGTCATCTAAGGGTTTGAAATGAACCACTGGCTGGGAAAAAAAGAAGAGCAACGTCCTTGACTCCCTACTTGCTAATGAGAAGAAATGATGAGAATATTCATTTGAGCGCGACTAATTGTACCTGACATAATTTTCACAGGGCAAGAAAGCACGGGCGAACGAGAGCAGCATCCAGCGACTGTTGTGCACGCTAACTTGTTGACAGAGCATGTTCCGGCATCCGCTAAAAGGCGAGCTCTCCCTACTAATTGCACGGACCTACCTCATCTCTGCAAACTAATCCTGCTCTCACAGACTTTATCCAACGACACAATGCTGCCGGAACCTGCTGGGAGTCGTGTTAACTCGCTTGCTGATTCGTGATGCTGCCGACCAAATGAGCAAAGTTCAGGTTCGGCAACAAAGGAATTGTCTGTCCTTCAGTGGTTGTGAGTTGATACTCGCTGCCATGTTTATGCCTCGGGTCTACGGAGATGACATTTACAGAGAATTTGATATGATAATGCGGGGCTCTTCACTGCAGGGTTTGGCCTTTGATAAACACAGTAAATATTTACTTTGATTCTTTACCTTTCTGTAAAGAAAACAACATGTAGCTGTTATTTAAAGTGTTTACTAAGTAATTTGACTGATTTAACTGCACTTTACCCAAAATACAGTCCATACAAACGTGTGAAATACCACTTAAATGTTAAATGATTCTAAATCGTATCACTCATGGTAATTGCATTACCTTCACCTGCAGAAATTAGACGTAATACGAGTTGTTCTGTACCTTCTGATTGCTGTTTTGGCTGGTATTTAGTTCGTCGCTGATCGTTGTAAAATCTCACAGTCTCAGAAGAATGTATCCACAAGGTGGGCATCAGATTGGTATTAGGGAAATGGTAAAAGGCAGTAGGATGTGTGGTTTATATGCTTAAGTATGAACTATGTTTCCTGTTTGTATGGTGTTGCTTTCAGAGCCTGTGTGGCATAAAAAGATACTCTTACAGTAATAGTCTGACTGTGGAAGCTAACTTTGTTGTTTGTTTTATGGGTTTATTAACAACAAAAGAAGCCTGCCTGAACATACATTTACTGAAACTGCATTATCATAGTGCAAGTTCAACTTTCTACTAATACAAAAAACCCACGTTTCACTGGCAGTGAACCCAGCAGCAATACAGACTGTTTTCTTGACTAGATGTTCTCTTGATGAATTTGACTTGTTTTGGTCTTTACACCTGTTGAAAATGTGATCATCGGACTTTACACGATCTGAGACAGACGCAGTTAACTTGGACACTTTTCACTTAGTCGTACGTGCCCTCTGTAGGTTTGTCCTGTGAACTGTTGCATAAAACTAAGGCCACATTTACACATAGCAGGGTATTTACAAAAATGGATCTAAGTTTTCAAAAATGACATTGTTGACACCAGATCGTTTTAAAAAAAAATCTCTGAAACCCTCATAAACACGTCATTAAAAGCTGCTATGGGCATGCCAACCTATAGGGGGCAGTGTAACAAGACGCATAAAGCCATGCTAGCCAATCAGAATCCTGGAAAAAACACAACAACGAATGGGACGAATTACTTCCTGTTACTTCAACGATAAAGGCGTGAGGGTTGTTTGTTTGGACCGACAGAGAAGTGGCGCTATGTTTGCACAAGCATAAAAACAAGCATTGCTTCAACAGCATCCATGTCTATCACAGTAGCCAAACTGTAAACACTGGTCGCACACATATGATGCTTTTGTCGTATACTGTGATTTCAAACTCTGTCTCCTCCTGTGTACATGCAAATGTAAAGGCAGAGTTTTTCCAAATCTCCTCTTTGGAGATGTGATTGTTTTCGGTGACTTGTAGCTTCATGTACGTGTAAACCAACGACCCAAATGCATTGAAATATCACCATTTTTGCTACGTGTAAACGGGCCCTAAGACTAATTCTGTGGCCCAGATGCCAAACGATGCATTGATTTTATACCTTGTATACTACATACACATTTTAAAGTACAGTTACTAATAAATGCATCCATTTATAAACATGAAATAATCCCACAGGTGTGCCATCAAACAAACTGCATGTTCACAATGCTACTGCAAAATATACTTTTTAAAAACAATAAAACAGTCGAATGTATTCGTCAGAACAACACTTTTGTTTTTAGTCTGTTCCTATTTGTGTTCCTGGGACCGTTTCATCATCGTCCATTAATTTTAATTTCTTCCAGCTGTGAGAAACTCTGCTGTGTTGTTGTGCACTGCAATGTGGCAGAACAGTGTCCATCAACAACACAACTGTTCTTCAGACCTTAATTTCTAAACATACTCTTAGCTGAGTACAAGCTGTGAGGATCCTGTCCTCTATTCGCCTTGAACTGGTTGTTCCACAGACTTATTTTCAAAATCAAGACAAATATCTGTCATTTGATGTACAGTTTAAGGAGAGGCGGGCGGTCAAGAGAAAGCAGCCATCTTGTTTAATTAAAATTAATTAAGTGGGACATAATTGACGAGGGGTTACATCCTCATATTAAGTGTAAGCACCCTGTCTATTCAGGGAATGTCTCTTTAATATGTAGCTGTTTACCTGTAATTAGATGAAGATGAACATGTGTGTGATTAATTCACAAGCAAAGTGCTGGTTGACATTGATTTCTCATTCTTTATATTGTTTTATTTCATGTGCTCGGTGGATTATGGAGCCAACCTGCCAAGTTATCGTTTTAGTGGTGCAGCTGGTGTGGGCCTCCAGCTACAGGATTGGCTCATGTCGTGGGAATTTACTTGTTGATGCAAGGCGATATTATTAAAGGTTTGCTGTGGAACTTACGCTGGTAGTTTTTGTGTTATTTCTGTTGGATAAATGGGTCTATGTTTTGTAGTTCTGGTTATCCACTGACGGCATCCTCCCAGTGGATCAGCCACCTGATGGGTGCCACTGTCCTGCAGCACAATGCTTAAAGGTTGTAACCTGTATTATAAAACTGATGTTAAGGATTTTAAAAGGCCAGCCTGTTGTGCCATTTTGACCCACACTCACTGTTTAATTCAAATTGAAGTCCACCTGTAAATCCAGAGGTTAGTCAGAAGCATATTTCAAAATAGAGTGGGGACCAGCATGAGAATGTAAAATGGTATGTTGTCCGCATTTACTGTATATAGCATCTCTTAAGGTTCTACAAAGCACTCCACAGTGTCGGGATCAAACCGCCAACCTCACGATTACTCACCGCGACTCTTACCATGAGTCACGGCCACCCACCAATGTCCACCAGACGTTATGAGCAAAAATGGACTCAGTAGATGTACTGTCCAACTGATTTTCATCAGTATTATGCATCTGCATGGCTTTCTTGTTATGAAGATGTCTTTGTCTGGTCCGAGCAACATCATAACCCTTATAAGCCCCGCCCCGCTGCTAGCAAAGCAAAATGGCTGAATAACTGTGTTGCACCAGTGCTGTCAGATGGGTCCAGTCTAATTCTGCATTATAGTTTTGGCATCTCTCTCTTCAGCCCAGACACAAACCCAGTGATTGTACACACAGAGCTGCTTTGTAGTTATAAACCATTTAAAAATCAGAATGCTCCTCATGGCTTCGAATTTCCAACTAACTCTTTCTTTTTTACTTTGGTTTCTCTGCTCCTTCATAATTGATTTCGTGTTAGCTCTCAGAATTTTATTACCATCTAAATGATGACCGCTAGACCTCCTCATCAACTCCACACGGCTGATTAAAACTCACTGCAACAGTAGTAAATAACAACACAAACGCTGATTAAGTGAGAATAACAAACAGTGAAGCTAAGTCAACAGCAACATGGGGGGAACGACAGATGAAGAAAACGGTCGTGAGAGAGACTTTTTTTTTTTTCTATTTGTTTCCACTGAAAAGTCCAAGTAATACTTAAGTGCAACACTGAAAAGAAACTTTCCTGAGGTTCTGTTCACTTTGGTGCAGCGGTCAGCAAAATCCTACCCCGCTTCACCGCTTGACAAAACCTTTTATTTCTTTAACCGGAGCTTCTATTGTCATGTCTCCGAAAGGAACATTGAGGGGAAAGTGGTCCCAGTAAATGTCTCTCACCTTACATCTACCGCGTCCTCCATGACTGTCATGTCTGTCTTGCATTTGGCTGAGGGGTTGATGGCGAGCTCAGCAGGAGGGATGACAAAGCTTTTACTCAACGGCAGCCACATTCCCTCTCCTAAGGTGTACGTAAATCTGCAGAAGGACAAGAAAGGCACATGAAGCATGGGAAGTTATTGGTTTTCATGCGAGAAAAACAAGGAGAAGAGAGTGGAATGCAGGTGGACACATCAGGGAGAACAGATGAATTAGAGATAAAACACCACCATTGGGAATTGGATTAGTTTATTAGCATACCATCTTGATCAGTTTCAAAGACCTCCTCCGGTGAAAATCTGGTAGTTGTTTTTTTTCCCCCTTGTTAACATGTCCATGGCTGAACATTTCCACCTTAAAAGTGCAGCATGACAGTCTCAAAAACACAGATTCAGACTTTCAGGGTGTCGATCCTGTCAACTTGCAGGATGTTTAATTCTTCTTCAGAATTCTTATTGGGTTCGAACAAGTATCCCTAAATGACTCAAGTCTTACTACTTGTCTTCGCAGTGAAAAGCAGTTTTACAGTGTTCGAGAAGAGTCATAGGTGAGCTGGTGTGCTTGAGCTGCAGTAGGTGACAGAAGGGTGGGTGTAGATAAAAAGGTCGACTTCACATGTCTAAAGGACGAAACTGTGAAGAGCTACATCTAACCCATTTCGAAGCATGAAGGGATTGTTTTCATTGAAATGACAAAATTCTAAATATGTAACCTTAACAACTTAATAGTTTGTTCGGGTTTAATCAATGACCAGAGAGGGACTGAACAGACTGGCCACCTCACAGTCGTATGCGTCCACCAACCAGTCAAGTACAGGTTTGTGTCCATGTCTGTCCAGACTTGACCTTTGAATTTCTGCATATTAAATGTCATTACTGCATCATTTTCCTATTAAACGTTAGTGTGAAATTGTGTTATAATTAGCGTATGAATTCTTGAGTTATGGCCAAAAGCGTGTTTTGTCACAGTGACCTTCTACCATTAACATCTAATGATTTCACGCTTTAAAGTCCAAGTGAACATTGGTGTGAAATGTGGAGAACTTCACCTACAAGCGTTCAAGAAATATTGCGTTCATGAGACGCATGGATGGACCAATGGATGATGCAAAAACTGGTAGGTAACTAAAAATCACAAATGTATAGTCACCTATTCCTGTAAATGGCTTCTATTGTTTTAGGGGTTTTTGGGGGGTTTTGACCACATTTTTGATAAATTTTATTTCTTTTGGCCAAATGTTGGATTTTCTTCCCATTTGATTTCTTTGACTCACACTTAAAGTCATTAATCTAAAAATTGTTAACATAAAGTGACCTTTTCATTTTATTAAGGTGATGCTGTACAGTTTCAATGATTAGGAGCCACATAATGAGCAATTAAAATGTTTGCTAAGGTGTGTATGCTTAATTGGGTTTCTTAATGATTAATTTATATGAGTGTCAGGCTAGTGTGTACTTCCTGTTTATGTTTGGGTTTTTGCAACAATCCCCCTAATTTCAGACAATTTTCATTCATTGTGGACCAACCTAGATATTAACTAAAGATCAACCATGTATCCTTGAAGGGATTTTTACATCGTTTTTACTATGAAATGTCATCAGAGCTTATGGCAATCAACAAAGTAAAAGCACATTTGACTAAAACTGGAAACAAAACAAACTAAAGTGTAAAATGCTCAGTTAAGGACACAGTTGTTTTGATGTTTCTTTTTTCTAACTAATAATGAAACGGCTGCATTACATGTATTTATCGTCGACACGTTTTACTGGTGCAGTTGTTGGAGGACACATGGGAAATTTAAAAACGTAAAACACTGTTTGTTTGGCTCGTTGAGTCGATTTGTGTATTCAGATTACTGACACCGTGTCACTGTTGAGCGACAAGCAAAACTTTTTTGTTGAGCTGAACTTAGTGAAGCTTTAGTGTTTTCAGTCTTGGAATGGAACTATAAAGATGCAGAGTGCCAACCAAAAAAAAAAAAAAAAAAGGCTGGAAAGATGAGTGTTCTGTTTTTATGATGTTTTGTAAAAAACTGCAGACTTGTGGGGAGTTTTTGTTGATGAAAATTTGACTAAAAACTTCAACATTCAGTTGACTAAGCAGACCTTGTGATCTCCAGACTGAAAGCCAACAAAAAATCTAAAACTTGCTGGAAAAATGAACGCTTCAAGAACTTTGCGGGGACACCAGGATTAAAAGAGTATTCCAGTGATTTAGTACTGCACCGCTGTCGAGCTGAGGGACTTGTAAGAGACACATGGGGAACATAATGGTCAGAATTGAAGTAGCAGAGCCTCAGACAGCCAGACGTTTAGAACCTTAGTGTATGATTCAAGCTCATAAATGCAACTTGAAAGCATCTGTCACTCGACCCTGCCTGTCTTATAAATGCTCGAGTCTGTCAAACTCCACGTCCCAAGTTTATAGTGCACTCTTTCTCCAGAAGTCTCCAAGTCAAATCAAGATGACCTTCATGGCATCAGGGGTATTTTTAACTTTTGCGAAAGCCACAACGGAAAGTTTTCTGCTCACAGTAGTGTTTTGAATCCAAGTTACATTGACAACGGACACAACAAGTGTCGAATCTAGTGTAATTAATGTTTTAATCAGTGGTTAAAAGACCCCAAACTCGGCCAGTGCTCATTCAAACTAAACACTGTACTTCTGTGGTTCCCCATGTTTAAAGGTCAGCTGTATAATTGTTGAGAAAAGACACATTCGTTCATTTATTACTAAGATTTGGGACAAATCACTGAGCAACTTAAATGTATATGTAGATCTTAGAAGAGAGCCACCACTGAGAGCAGAGTCGAGACCTGGATTTAATCACTAAGACAGATTTCTGATATCGTGCAGGCTCATTCACAGGGCAAACACGTTCTCTTTTGGATCTTATTGTTAGTTCAGGAGTTGATTATTTCAGACAATTAAAGATAAGCGCAGTGAGAGGGAAGAGGGAAAAAAAAAAAGAAGCATTTTAAGATTTTAAATTGGGATTGTGTTGAGGCGAAAGAAGGGCCATTTCTCAGGAGCTGAATTTACCAAGAGCGGGAAGACGATCAGAACCTCACACTGATTCTCAAACGAGTTCAGTTATGTCAAGGAGAACTATAGGTGGGACAAAGAAGAGATGTCAGTTTGATTTTTTTTTCTCCCCCCTCTGGCTAGACTTCTTAGCATCTAAAAACAACGACCACGTGGCATGAAAATGGCTGCTTTTCAAAGACGAACGCTTTTGCTGCATCAGTGAGTCACACAGTAATGGCATCAAGTTGGTTAGAGGTTATTTATTTTACCTTTCAGCAAACTTATCCTTTTTCCATAACTCTTTCTTGAGCAGAAGGACACTGTGTGTTAATGGACGCAATGCATACCAAATGAGAAGCTCTGGCGAAAAAGGGGCCAATAAGAGATTCCCCTGAGACAAAACATGGCTATAAATCTGTAAACAACAGATGTCTGGAACAAGGGCTTTAAAACAATTCTTTATTTGCGAGTCAATGAACATCATCAATCTTTAAACACTCTGCAGATGAAATGTAATACTTCCAACTTTAAGTTAAACAGTGCTTGCTGTTTAACATCAAACGCATTATTAGCGCTGATGAATAATGCATGCCGACTTGTAATGCAAAAGAGGGGGGACTTGTTGATTAAATAGTTAACAACCATTTTTTTATGCAGACTAAACATATTTCCTCATTTACAATTGTTCAATTTGCATTTAATAAAATGCTAACTTCGCACAAGGAAAGGGCAGCGGATTGTGGGGACTGCATGCATTACCGGCCCCTTTAAGAACAGAATGATTAAAACCCCCGCAGAAATGGAACGCTTAATTATATCCACCCAATTACTCCCTTTGTTTCGAAATTTTTTGAGCGGATCAAAGTGCAGCTGTTCTTCCATTCACTGTAAAACACTAGGTGCTGGGGAAGTTATTACAAGGTGGGAGTCCATTAAAATGGTAATATTTCCAGTTTTATTTTTCCAGGAAGCTGCTGCCAGCTCTCACTTCACCTGCTCTTGTGGGACTGTGTACGGCAGGAGTGCTGAAAATCCCCGCGATGCAGCGTGACGTATACGGGTGACCGCGGGACAAATTAGCAGCTACTTAACGAGCACTGTTTTTATAATGGACAACTGGGGACTTGTGTGCTGCTGTGTGACTTATTTGGTTCACCTGAAGAGAAACTGGGTTTGGAAAACACCACGACCCCCCCCTGTGAGGAAACGGTTGTTGAGTGGAAAACGTGTTTGCGATGTTGTGAGGAACTCCTGCGGTTATCTTAGCATTTATCTCGTCCAACAAAAAGGGAATGTTGCACATATCCTTGAGTTTGCTTCGTTTAATTTAACTCAAGACGATGGCTTTCTCAGAAATCAAAGGTTTTCTTCCAGTATCCTGAGCAGAGAGTTAAATGAGGATGGACGGCTGGTTGGGGCAGTCTGAGGCTCACATAGTTGTAAAGAAGGGCCTCCTGGAGAAAATATGCGCGCAATTAAGGCAATACACTCATCTCAATTTGAGCCTCCTCGTCTCCTCTGCCCTCCGTCCTTCTGCCTGTGACCCAGAAATTGATCTCAGTGTCCCAGCCTTGAAGATGTTGTGAAAATACTGCTGTGATTCTTATACGCTCTCATCGCTTAAAAAGTCAGCTAGAGTAACACTTCAGGACCACTGCACCTGTTTTTCTTCTACTTGTTTTGTAATATTGTGTGATTTTTCTGTCCATGTAGTCTGTTTTTTATTGTTCATCTTGTTTGTATGCCGCCTCTTGACCAGGTCGTTTTTGAATATGAGAACCAGTTCTCAACTAACTTACCTGGTGAAATAAAGGTAACATAAATAAATAAAATAAAACAAATCTTTGAACTTTAAATATTAAAATGAAGTTTATACAAGCACTTCAGTGGGGCATTGGAAAATCTGTCATTGTATGCAACATGGAGTTTAACAATTGGTCCATATTGAATTTCCCTTCTGGGATAAATAAAGGATTTTTTCATTTCATATTCTCTACTGCAGAGGGGAGAGGGAGTCAGTCTGTCCAACATAACTATCTCTTGGAGAAGAACAAGAATGAGAACTTTGTCATAACATTACAGTGAACACAGTCCCATTGCTTGTTTCAGATGGCTTCTGATCGTTTAGTTTGCCTGCCATGTAAGAACCTCTAAGTCCTACATTCCTACAGTTGACCAGGAAACCTCTTCAGACTGAAACCTCAAGAGGTCCATACTTCTGACTCTTGTTGAGTTACAGACACATCCCCAATCTCACCTCAACCAGCCGAGGAAGACGGCTGCCTTCCCTGAGCCTGGTTCTATCTGAGGTTTTTCTTTGTTTTTTTTCCTCCCAGTTAAAGGTTTTTTTTTGGTACCTTCCCACTATTGCCAACTACTTGCTCAAAGGGAATCCGCAGTCAATTTGGATTGTTTTGTTCTCTGTTTTTTTGTTTAAAATGTGTAAGGTCTTCACCTACTATGTGAGGTGCTATGAGATGACACATGTTGTAAATTATATAAATAAAACTTGATTGAATTTAATCTAAACTCATGTTGCTGTAACGTTGGTCAACCTCACCTGGAAACATGTCAGCATTCTATTTCTATGAACTCATTTATTCAACATGTGATTAACAGACATGTAAATAAATGCTGACCTAAGAAGTTACAATCGATTCACAAAGGCGCACTGAAATGCTCAAAAGCATGTGGAGGAGAAAGGGCTGAGGAGAGAGGGAGGTTGTTGAAGAAGCGATGAGAGCTGTACCCTCGCTTTATCCCTTGCAGGAATGTACACGTATAATGCATGAAAGAGGTGCGACACACAGCTGCAATGAACTATGTGAGGAGCAGGACTAAAAAGAAAGTGTGCATCTATCATTTAGTCATTAATCTGTATTGTCCTCTTTTGTGTGTTACGCCTCTTTTATACTTCATGACGTGTGTGAAATTCTAGTGAATGGTGTGAATTGATTCAAAACTACATACTTACCATAAGGTGAAACTGTTAAGGTAATCTGACAAACACTGTCAAGTATAGAGGTAACAGAAGATGCAGCTCATCCACGCCTCATGTTTAATCAACGGTTTTGAGGCAGTGATGTTTCATTTTGTTAAATGTCTGCTGTATCGACTCCTCTCACCTCCTCACCTCACATCTCTGGTGGGAGGGACTAAGACGTGAGGAGAAAAAGGAAACAAATGCCGGAAATAGAAAATGAGAAATGAGAAGAGGGGAATAGATCAAAGCAGCTCCTGGAGATATTAGTGTGATCTCAGCCTCCTCGGTCTGTTCTTGACATACAGGAAATGCTAACAGCCACAAGAGCGGTCGGCACGAACCGTATGGGTTTGTGGTTCAAGCAACGGCACGAACAATCCTTTGTCGTCTCTGCTGCTGTACTGTCACGCACGGAGTTAGAGTCTTGTAATGAAGGCAGTGGCACATCCTCCTCTTAGATCTGCTTGTTCTCGTGTCAGGGAACTTGAGGAGAAAAGCAGTTCTGAAAAGCGTTGTGTACCTCCGTCACAGACAAGGGGCTGCTATACGTGTTGATGTGAAAATGAACATGGCAAAGTGAGTTTCTGCTGAGATGTATGTTCTATTTAAGGCACGCTTATTCGAATCAAAGTCAGATTTACCGTGATAAAACACGAACAAGGGCTATCCAGCACGTTAAACATTAAAACACGTCTTGACGGTTTATTTTATTTATATCCTTAAAAAAGGCTAAACCCCGGGCTATTTTTAGGGTACTTTCACTGTCTTTATGTTTAAGCTCTTATCTGATCTTTTCTTTTTCAGAACAGTCCAGGCTATCCAGCTCTGCAGTCATTTGAAGTAATAATAATATTATTTATTTATTTTTTTTATTAGGCTTTACATCCAGAAAGGAAAATAAAATTGTTGGTATTTCATGTTTCACAGCTTTAAAGACTGTAGACGCAGAGATATCTTTTTATAACTGTGTAGTGGAGGGAGTATGGAATCTGGCAATACTAGAAACATGATGCTGGGATGTTGTATGACGTAGAAATCGAGCAAAATATGTGCTTAACAGACACAGCTGTTGTTATTTTATTAACGGAGGTGTTAACGAAAAGTTCCTTGAAAAGATGGTGGAGAACTAAACAGAGCTAAAAGGAGCGTCAGCGTATCTTAAAGCTCCTCTTCGGTTATTGGCTGAACCCCTAAAAAAAAATTATTTGTCTAGAAATTACATATTTAGAGTTTTGGCCATGAAAAAAACAAACAAAAAATAAAAAAACCTTCCTGCCTTGAAAAGGCTTAGATGTAATTTGTACACTCATCTCTGCCCACATCTCTGCTACTGGCTGCAGCTCAAGCACACCAGCTCACTTATGACTCTGCTCAAACACTACAAAACCGCTGGCAAGTTGTAAATGTTTGACTGGAAATCGATTCTGAAGAAGAATAATGACACACAAACCCTGTAAATTGAATTGTTCACTTCAGTTTGTTACTTATGAAACACCGGACATGTTTTTGAGATTGTCGTGAGCTGATTTCAGTTTCAAGCTAAAAATGCTTTTCAGTGGCATTAAATGCTTATTTCAATCTTGAAGTAAACAAAAAAAATAAAAACAAACATCATTTGTTGATCAGGTAAAGAAAAGACGGGAGCAAAAAACTGTCTGCTTGATTTGAGCTAAGTCTTGGCCACACAGTTTCCATTTAGGCAACTTTATGGGGTGATAACGAGCCATCGCTGTGTTTACATCTCGTTATACTGAATCTAAGTGGCTCCAAGGTTAAACTAATGTTGCTTTAAATATTTACTAAAGGATTATTTAGAGGTGCTACGAGGTGGAACAGTGGTTAGCACCGTTGCCTCACAGCTAGAAGGTCACCAGTTTGCGTCCCAGTGAGGACATCCGGGATCTTTCTGTGTGGAGTTTGCATGTTCTCCCCGTGCAGCGTGGGTTCTCTCCGGGTTCTCCAGCTTCCTCCCACAGTCCCGAAACATGTTGAGGTTAATTGGTGATTCTAAATTGTCTGTAGGTGTGAATGTGAGTGTGCTTGGTTGTCTGTCTCTAAGTGTAGCCCTGTGATAGACTGGTGACCTGTCCAGGGTGTCCTCTGTCCTTACCCTGAGTCAGCTGGGATAGACTCCAGCGATGGTTGGGATCGTTGTGTTTACATCTCGTTATACTGAATCTAAGAGGCTACAAGGTTAAACTAATGTTGCTTTAAATGTTTACTAAATGATTTTGTAGACAGTTTGAGGAAGTGGAAACAAGTTGTGGTGTAACACAACAGTGACATGCTGGTAAGATTCACATTTTAATATGAATCAATGTGCTTTAAATGATAGAAAATATGAACATACAGTGTGCTTTGGCTGTCTTTTAATATATTGGTAACGAAAAGAAAAATACATTTATATTTAATTTTCATCACACTGCAGAGGACGATGAAACCTGCTCCTGTGATCACATTTTCACAAAAGTAATTATTGCTCGATATTAATTGCTGCCTACCATAGCCAACTGAATTATCTTTCCCCAATCAATTTCACAGACATGTAGAGTAAAAATTGCTTTCAGAATTGATTCTCACCATCAGAACAGACTGATTATTTGACCTGATGGAAAATGAAGCGGCTCCGCTGCTTCCAATTGAGAATCTCACCTCTCACTCCATTACAGAGCACCTTTAAAACTGACAGCTACAGACGGCATTCTGCAAGCCAGAGCTCACAATCCTCCCGTAATCATGAGGGAGAAAGACAATCAAAGCTGGCATATCGCAATTCTAACAAGTTATTTGACTGCGGCTCCGCGGAAAATGTAGTCGGATAAAACAAAGTTTTGTGAAGTTCTCCTTACCTGAAAATGCGATCAGAGGGTTGTTCTCCCATCACAAGATCAAAACCGCGCTGGAAGATGGTGTAAGGCCAGGGACTGGTATGAAAAAAAAAGAATAGATCAGAGGAACAGGCAAAAAAATATATAAAAAAAAAAAAAAAAAAGAGGAGAGAATAAAACTGTGTGTTAAAATCAAAGCCAGAGAAGTGTTAAATTTTTCAGTGTACCCATCCTCTTAATCTAAACCCCCTAAAATCACAAGCTGTGTTCCTGTGTCTAACTTCCAGCAGTTCCCGCCTTCCAGAGCCCCACAAATCACAGGCGGCGGCGCTACGACGTGTGCCGTGTGTAAACATGTTGATTGAAAAATGTGTTCTCTGGCAGGTGACATGCAATGTGACTTTGGCTCATATCTATTTACCAGCAGAGGGGGATAAGAAGGGAGGGGAGAGGCTGAGCAGGAGGGAAGGTGATGGAGGGAGCAGACAAGGGAAAAGAGGGACAAAGAGTGAGAGGAACATCGAGGGGACGGAACAGATGCCAAGAGGCAGAAGCGAGAGAGGGAGAATGATGGAGATAAATGGGGAGTGGCAGCTCGGGGACTAAACAGTCTGGAAAGTGAGAGTGTAAGGAGGGGAAGTGACAGCGGCCCGATGTCATTCTGAGCAAACTCCAACGCTACTGTAAGCAAAAAGAACATCGGGGATGAGGAGAGCGGCTTCCATGCCAGGGGCGACGGTCATTAAACATTTAAGTCACCCCAGGATGCCCACTCTGTTTCACAATGACAGGGACTCAGGGAGCGAGGCACAGAGGTGCACAGTCGGGTGGGCTGAGGGGAGAAAAAAATAAAAATAAAAAATCAGTTGTAAAATGTAGTGCCAAAATAAATAAATAAACAAAAAATGCTTCGGTGAGGTTGGGAGAGGACAAAACGAAGAGAAAATGGCGTGCTCCGTCTGCTGCCTGCTAGCTGGGGACGTTTCAGGTTAAGAATTTAGCGCGACTTGTTCTCGCCTTTTATCACATTCACTCTCGCTGTGTGGTAAAAGGTTTTAAGTGCTCGTAGAACTCAGTGCCAGTCCACAACACATAGGGGGGAAAAAAAAGCACAAAAAAAGTCAGAGTGGGCTATTTATTTGTTCTTAACATTTCGTAAAAAAGCTACCCTGTGGAGTTTTCAGCCACAAGTAAAGCTGCGGAGCAGCAGCTTTACGAGGAGGTGCTCTCTTTATGTTGCCGTTTGCATCCCCGTGGTTATTGCAAATGTGTTTTTGTAAGAATGGAAATGCCTTGAACGCTTGATTATTTTCATTTATGTTTATTTTTTCCACATCTCGTGGATAAATTCTCCAAAAAAAACTCCACAGGATAGTTCCACTACCTGTGCACCAACGGTCCTACAACAGCAATGTTCTTACAACTGCATTCTTTTTAAAGGTAAACCTATTTTCTCCTGCATCGTGTTTGTTTGAGAAGAACTGTGTTGAACATCAACATATCTTTATTTATCATATTGCGTTCTCTCTGGCGCTCCTTTTCTGACGACCAATCAGATGTTAGATGGGGTGGGACTTGCCACACTGGTAACCCAGAAAATGGATTAGAAGTTTCAAACATGTTCCCTCCTAAACATAACCAAACAGTGAGCAAAAATGAATCTTAAGCACTTCTATTGTTTATTGTATTGCCTTTCAAACAGCCAATCGAATATTAGATGGCCTGCGATTGGCATCAACGCCCTATCACACTTGAACTTGTTCTATGGCACTTATCTAGACTGTTTTCTCCTGACTAGATCCTTGCTTGTGTTGTATCTGCTCTCAGACGTACATCGCTTTGGATAAAAGCGTCTGCTAAATGAAACTGTAGAATTGTAGATGAAGCGCCAAACATTTTGCAGAAAGACCATGATATTGTCCTAAACATAACCAAGTAGTATCTGGGCCTAAACCTGACTAAAGAGTGACTAAAAACAAAAATAAATCAGCGACTAAAAAGTGGAACGTGGGTCTAAAAATACTGCTCCTACGTGGGATGGAGTCTTGTTTCAGACATGTACTTCCACTTTCTTGACTCATTGAAAGCAGAAACACTTCCCACAACATCAAACCTCACTGGGAAAAAACAAATGTCTTTCAAAACATAACTGAGATTCAGTTTTGTTGTATGAGAACACACACTTTTATGAGAGAGGGTTGCTGATAGTGTATTCTTCCATAAAGCAGTTGTGTTTCCTCAGGTCACATTTACTTTCTAATATCATCTAAGTTACTTGATGGTAAAAACGAATGCACAGTTAATTAAATGACATAAAAAACAGCCTGTAGAGGTAAGTGTGCAACTGGACAATACATCCAAACCTGATTCATCAATTGACGAACTTCAGAAAGCTTTAAATAATTACCTACGTTTGGATTTGAATGAAGCAATCAATCATTTAATATACATACACCCACACAGTTACGTCAACTATATGCAACCCATATTTAATTTGCTCATTGCCTTGATGTTTGTTTTTTTTTTTCCATTTTGCGACTCCTTTAATGTAAAGAAACGTAATTTGAAGAGCAGCGTGACATCTAAAGACTAAATGAAGTCAGAACAGGAGCTCTGATTAGTCAGCTGTGGCTCCTGTAATTGTGTGTTTGTTCAGAACAGCCAGAGCCTATATTTCTCTAAGTATTGTTACAACACACCTGTTATTGAAAATGGAAAACAGTAGCTTTAAAAAAAAAAAAAAAAGAAAAAAGAAAAGCAGCACAGTATCATAAAATCGACTGGAAAACCTGTTGCTAAACGAATTATTTAAAAATGGTAACATTAGATAAGCCAGCGAGTGATATATCGAATCCAATGAATGATTTACTTAACCAATCAATACTTCATTACATTAATCACAGATCCCATAAAAATTCAATACCGCTCTAAGGCAGTCCTGCTCATTGATTTGCAACGCTGATCACGATGGTCCGATACGTTTAAACACCGTAACAGTATTGCATGACTGTATCTTCTGACGCTGCTGAACATCGAAACACTGCGTCGATATTGCTGTTGCAGCCACTCGTAGGATGTGGGGTTACGGCAGGGATTTGTCCCGTAGGTCAGCACTGTCTTCTCTGATGTATTTGCTGGGACGGGAGCACCCCGATACCTTCGCTCTGAGTGGTCACCCAGGGGTTGGCACTGTGGTGGCGGTGTTAGCCAAGTGTCAAGGACTTTTAAAGCAAGCAGATGTGACCCCAATTAAGTGTTTATATGACTTCCTGGGAAGAAAAAGGTCTGCAACAGCGTTTTTCAAAGCCAAAAGATATCAAGACATCACTTTGAATCATTATTGAAAAGTGCCCTTGTGTCCGGAGAGATGAATAGACCAAAAAAAAAATAAAAAATGTGATAAAGCAGGTAGAAATGTCTCGCTTCACCATTGGTCCAAGGGGAATTTATTGATGGTGCTGAAAGTCACAGCGCGGTCTTTCTACATCTATGAATGAAAGTATTTTTGGTTCATGGGCACCCATTGCATACAAATATAAAGGTTGAATCACTCTTCATGGGAAGCACTTCTCAGCCTATTATGATTGGAGAAAAAGGGTGATTGTGTGTCGTCCTTCTGCACGCCGCCTATGATCTTGTTTTTCAATTCCTCCACAAGATTTGGTTAAAAGACCACAATGTTGGGTTTAGCAGGTGAGGTTGCATAATCCAACCAGCTGAAGACAATTCCCACCTACTGCTGCTGCCACTTCAGGGTAAAAATATAACAAAAAAAAAAAGCCCTCTCTAAAGGCAGTGCTTGGGTTGTTCCTTCTAGGCTGCTGTAGAACATGTCAGTGTAATGCGATGGGCTCCAAGGAGGACCTGCTGCTGATGCACAACTAAAAGATTTAATCTAAGCTTAAGAAGAAAATCATTCATAGTTACAGGTGGTTACACACTCAGAAACATAAATATGACTATTCTATTGCTGCTAATAGCTCCTCAAATATCTTATGCACTGGTCCTTTAAACGAAATTATTGTTTAATTGAAACATTGGAAAGCACATTTGAGCTATTTTGGAAGTTTTGTTGATTAAGTTACAATCCTAACTCGAAACAATGCAATTTTCCAAAGGCTGGGACTAATGATGTACATTATGCAGCACATCTAAGCCAGGGTTTCAACTCTTGTGTCAGTGGTTTTACAAATCCATGTCCTCCTCCTTGTGTGGCAATCAAGCTTTTGGCAGCATCTCATGTGTTAATGCTCCTTTACATGTCTCAAATGTGATATACCCCACATTTTATCACCTCATTAGTTCAGTGTGCTTTCTGTGCTCACATCATTTTCTCTGATTCAAAATATTAATTGGTACTGGAAACAGCACAATTCTTTTTGATTCACGCGAGCAACTTCAAAACCTTTGGCTTCTTGTGCAGGACGAATCTTATGCTGTTTTTCACTTTGTCATGACAATGAGTAATCACAAACTGTCATGAGGTAATTATCATAACTTACCCCTGATTGGGCCCCCACTCACTGCGGATGCAGAGGTGCTTGTGCACCGGGTCCTTCATATAGCCGTCGAGGCAAAGGCATTCTCCTGCAAACGATGAAAGGCAGTGATTCAATCATGTGTTCATTATAGTCAAGCCTTTTTTTTTTTAATTTATTGAAAAATTCCCTGTGGTCCTCTCCTTCTGTTGTACTCCAGAAGAGCTTTTGATTTAGTTATTTTTGCGATTGGAGTCATATTGTTCAAATTCCCCCCAAAAAAGCTCGCAAAGTTTTCCAGCAGGAGCATGTTTAATCAGTTCTTTCGGCACAATGCAGCTGCTCTAAAAATGGCAACTAATGGCCAATGGCAACTAATGAAAGCAATGGCGCTGCTCAGTGTGTATCATGCCAGTGGAAGACTTTGGGAGATGTTGATTAGGACACAGTGTGTGAAACACCGGCTCGGTCCAACATTGTTATCACACTGAAACCTCATTGCATAACTGTATTTGGTTATTTTATTTTTTATGATGTGTATGATTATCCTGAAAATAACTTATTTGCTGGGCAGTGTCTGGAACTTCTGCTTTAGCAACAACACAAATGGATGAGCTCATTTGGTAAATGTTTACGCAAATGAAAAGCTAATACAAGCTCAATACATAACATGTTCCTTGAATGACTGCAACATGACAGTTAGCCCACAATTGGTTTCAATTTACAGCACTGGGTTCACATGATTCAATTAACTCTTACAACACACAAAAACATTGCACGTGTTTTGACCACAAAAACCGCCCCTGTAGACCCTCTTTTAGAGCTGTTGGGGACAAAAAAGTACCAGGTCCAGGGTAGGTACTTGACCTGACTTGATGCTGATCAGTTAAATACAGAGAATACCAAATCCATAAGTTGACAGAAGACAACAAGCACCATTGTTCTTCCCCCTCAAAGTCCAATGTACAAATATTGCTGATTTGTTTGGATATTTGATGAAGCCACACAAAATTCTACCCTCATTTTATGAACATTTCCTGAATTAGATGCCCTTAGAACATAGGGTTGGTCGAAGTTTTGCAGTTTTTAATTCATGTCACTTTGTCTACTTCTTGAGCCCTCATAACTTTGTAAGTACAGAAGACAGCGACATGAAGTTCATTCAAGGCTGAAGAACATATCTGAGCTCTGTTATTAGCTGCAACCAAATCAATTTAACATCCAATCCAGGTGTGACAATCTAAAGGCGAAATGTTTTTGTTCAGCATGATTTTACGTATAATCGAACTTGAGCATCGATACTGTGGTATAAATCAACATAGCATTGGTTCCATGGATCTGTTATCTGTTTCCTGATTATTCACTGGTTCACTGGTAAAAGTGCATTTTAAGCCATTTTAAAACCATGTGGGACGGGTGGTTGGTCAAAAGAAGTTAAAGCTTTTGAAAGGTACCTACATTTTGATACCAGTCAATATCCAGGACCATCTAGCTGATTGACCTCAGTGTTGTAGCTGAGGAGTGAGAGTACCAGGGTTCTGTTAAATACTGTGGCTACAAGCTATTTAAAGCCTTAAGAACACATTATAGAATCTTAAAATCAATCCTGAAATGGACAAAAAGCCAGTGGTGGGAGGCCAGTACTTGTGTTATGTTATCACTTCTTTTTCCTTTTCCTAAAGATCAGCACCCGCATTTTGTACCAGCTGCAGATGCTGAATAGAGGAGTGAAGCGCTCTACACCCACATACAAAAACCTAACTGAATGGTAACAAAACCATGAATAACTTTTTCAAAGTCTTTGGCAAAGAGACAGGCCTTCACCTTAGCTAAAAGTTTTAACTCAAAAGATCCAGTTTTAACTTCCGAGCTGATCCGTCGATCAGCTTTAAAGGAAATGTCACATATAACTGCAAGCTTTTTCACAGAAAATCGATTTTAAGAAGCCAAAGGGCCAAGAGTGCAGTCAGGGTCATCCAAAAGGTCCACGCTACCAAACATAATGATCCCAGTTGTATTTTCATTAACTATGAGAAATAAGAAATTTAAAAATAACCACATCAGCAAGGGCTGCACTGAGTCCCTATTTACTACTTTTATAGACATATATATTTGTACATCATCTGCAAAATAGCAAACGCAGCACTGTGCTTTGAAGCCATGCAACCATTTGGGATGGAACTGTTTAAACTTGATTGAAAATTTGCAGTTATCCCATGTTGTCTGACTACATGAATGTAGAGAAAAACATACAGAGCAGAAATGTGAGTTTGGAAGATATTTAGAGAAGCTGGATTTTGCTGCGGGTTTTGAAATCGGTCTATCTGAGCTGTCACGCAAAGAGCCGCGGCCTGTTCTCCGACTGCTAGCAGTCAAAAGACATATCCTGAAGAGCCACTGTGGGGAACTTCACTTTATGTATCTAATCATTTGCATCTTTGTATAAGATGCATCTTCCGTAATTTCTGGACTATAAGTCGCTACTTTTTTTCCACACGCTTTGAACACTGCAGCTTAAACAATGATGCGGCTAATTTATGGATTTTTACAAATTTGCGTCGAGACGAAAGTGACATTGAGAGCCACAACGAAAGAGAGACTGAGGAAGTGTGTGACGAGGTAGTTCTGAGGCTGCTCAATTCCAACACTGAAGGAGACGACTTTAGTGGTTTTAGTGCGCAGGAGGACGATGAAGGTAGTGATCAATGACTTTTCATGGTAGGCTACTGTACTTTTTAATTTTTTTTAACCAGACGTGTTACAGGCACTGTTCGGAAAAAAAGCATTTACGGTATGGATTTGTGCATGTTACCAGTAATTAAAATTTTAAAAAATCTTTCTGTTTAACATCCTACTTTGTAAATATCTCATGTAACAATGTGGACACCTGCGGCTTATAGACAGGTGCTTATAGACATATATGTACAAAATGTCCTTTCTTTTTAAAGTTAGTGGGTGCAGCTTACATTCATGTGCGTTCAATAGTTTGGAAATTATGGTAGTATTTGTGGTGGACGCTGATTTTAAAGTTGTTTTTGTATTCTAAAATTGTCCAATCCCACTACCAGATTCCATCACCATTCGTCACTTCAGCAAGTCGGTTAATTTATTCTTGCTGATTAGCACTGGCATGTGCTAGCTATGATGATCTTCGTTAGTTTGCCATCAAAACAGAGCAAAAGACATTGATGAGGACAGATGCTATGACTTTGAAAAGGGTGGCGGCTCTCCGTCCCTTACTGGTAAGCTAACTGGTTGAAGTTGAGATTAATGAGTCAGCTCTGTCATGCTATCAGCATCTTTTTCAAGTGCAAGATGTTAATCCAAATACAGCAGTGAATCATTAGAAATCACAGTGATGCTGTGGTTATTTTGGCCTAATACTTACGTTCCCACAAAACGTTTATTTTAATTCCTGGAGCTGAGCTGCACAGTGGAACAGACAGTCAGACAGCCTGGAAGTACGACACTGAAGTTAACTTTGAATCATTACTACAAATGTCTAACCTAATAGACTCAGTTTATTTTGGTGTTTTTCGCACTTATCTGACTGGTCCCAAAGACTGAGTCACATCCACTGCCTAAATGAGAAGTGATTAGATCAGTGATTAGTCTAATGAACAGACACTTGGCACTGTCATTATTTACTGAAGCAAAGCTTGTCAGGGGTCGTGATTTCCCCAAAATCCACTTAGTCTTCCGGCCTGAGGCAACATTTCGGGGCAAATAGGATTGCATGCAGCACTGCTCGTCTGTGCTACAGATTGAGGCACTGTGATCATCTAAAACCGTCTCTAAACCTCGGGATCGGGAACCCCTGTGGGACTGTTTGATATGCAGACAGGGTCAGCCAGTATTTTAAGGACAGATCAAGGGACATTTGTTTGATACGAAAAAAAATCCTCAAAAAACAGAAAATCTCTAAAATGCCCAATGTCTCACCAGTGGGACGAGGACAATGTGCAATGCTCTGTGTTGCCATCATCCTGATAAGTGAAGCCTGTTAACAAAGAACAGTGAAGCATCAGCTTTTTTGTTCTGCTGTCAGCTCCTGGGAGAGATGTCGGCCTTGACTTTGCTCAGTATGATTGATGGGGCCTCACCTTTGGTTTAGAGGGTTACTCGGGGGTAACATGTACAACATGCTCCCCTCATGCTCAATAGGAGGCAAGTGAGGAGCATGAGCCCTGGGCTTTTATACTCCACCGTTAATGGAAAAGGTCAACTGTCAGTACCTGCCAGGCTAAAGGAAATCGTATTCACTGATTTTCCTTCCCGTGGCAGCAGAATGAAAAAAGAAATGACTCAGGCACTTCGTCCTTTTAAGTCTGCTTATATTTGATATCATATTTGTATTCAGGAAAATCTCTTGAGTTGAGTCAAGACCAGGTCCAGTCAGGATCGAAATAGAATTTTGAGTCAAATACTTATGAAAATTGAATCCGACTGAGGACATAAATAGAGACAGCAAATACTTTGTTGGTGAATAACCCTGCTCATGGACCATGCATCCATCTGTAGAACCTGACACTGGCACATGCACTTTATCCTTAAAATCATGGAACTTTACCTTCCATTAACGCTCTTTTCTAAACACAGTCACGGTGCTGGCCCAGGAGACAAGAACCCCTGACCTAAACCAATTTATTCCAAGGTAAAACTGAAAGAAAACACCCCTACGTTTTTGTTAGATATTATTACAGCAGGTTAGTGCTGAATCAGGAGGTTGGCCTATAAACACTTTTTTTTTTTTCTGGCTGCATAATACAGAGCTTGATCACAATTATTTAATAATCAAAGTTTCAGGATCTTCTCAGTAATGAGGTCAGGGTGAAAGAGCTCATTAAGTTATACAGTTGCTTAGCTGCATTATTCAAGTACATGCTCTGCTCTTCCAACCTTATGTAATTATTCTTGTAAAAATGCACAACGTTTCCCGGAACCGTCACCTGAATGAGAAAAAGCCTTTTCATATACTCTTTATGATCATATGGCCAACACTTCCCTTTGGCAGCGCTCCCAACATGTAAATACTCTGGACGTAATTGCCACTTTGTTAAATGCACAATGAAAGAGTTGAATTGTTCGACGCCGGAAAAGGTAATTTTA